TCGGAAGATAGGTAGTTCTGCCATAGCTTTCCACAGCACCACTTAACAGTATTTGTTCCATGATTATTGGGTGTAGTGAACAGTTGCTTAAAAAAATATTTTGGAACTCCATTTTCTTCTGATTGCACTGAAACAATCCAATTTGTTTCCCCAGTAGTGTTGGAATAATGTAAGGAAAATAACAATTACCTTGAAGTTCTGCTTGGGTGCAGATGTGGCTCGAGAAACATCTTTAGTGCTTCAGCTATCATCAAGATGTTGGTGGGTCATCCTGAGGGCTGGCTTCGCGCAGGTTGCTTTACTCTGTCTTACCTTAGAGCGCTTTGACGCATTGTCCAAAAAAGATGCTCAATATAATACAAACAAATACCGGGCCATATAAAAGTGAGGAGTGAATAGAAGGTAATAAAACATGTGCAAGAATCTAAACAGAGAAAAGAGGTCATGATCCATTCATCGTTAACGTCTTCCTAATCCCATTAAGTTCTTTGGGGCTGAGCACGTGCTTAACGTTCTAGGACCTGAATGTGATTTCAGTGGGCTTCAGCAGATACTCTGCTTGGGGTTGGACTGCATGTGGCTTCCACATCACAGCTTGAAAGCAAATAACCTGTAAATTGTTGAAAACTTCTGTTTATTTCCTTTGTTTAGGGGAAAGAGCCCTCTGTCCGCCAACTAGCTCTTTTGCACTTCAGGAATATTATAACCCTCAATATCAAACTGGAAGATGCTCTGTCCCGTTCCCGAGCAAGAGTTCCTCCTTCAATTATTCAGATGTTGCTTATCCTTCAGGTATATATTTTTCTGGATTTTTAAATCTGTATCTCTGCATAACTTGCTCCTCAAAAGCAATTATTAATGTTGAGCTGTTACGGCTGCTCCCACCTTTCAGGTACTCTGTGTGTTGACTGTCTTCTTATAGCAAGCCATTCATTTACTGTGTTTTGCCACACAGATAGTGGGATGTTCTCCGTTTCTACCACAAATGTCTGTTTCTTGGGACAAAAGGTCATTGTGGGTATTTGTAGTACAGGATTCTAGATTCCCCAGATCGTCTGTGCTAAGCAGACTAATACAAGACCTTTCACAAACTGGAGAAGAGTTAGCATTTTTTTACTTGGATCTCATTGATGGGGTTTAGTCCTGCATAGAGTAGTTATGGAAACTCCTACCACACAGAGGTGTTTTGCGCCTGTTGCATTTGGGAGAACCAGTGTTTCATGATGCAAGCTAGAGCAAATCATAACACTTTTCTGCCCTTCTCTGTTCTGGGAGGCCGACTTTCCACTTCACAAAATGTGGAAGAAGCTGCTGAGTCCCACCCTTTTGAACAGTCTTCTGTGCCCATACCAAGGGAACCATTAGTTATCAAGAAGAAGAAGAAGAGATTGGATTTATACCCCGCCCTTCACTTGGAGTCTCAGAGCGGCTTACAAACTCCTTTCCCCTCCCCTCCCCACAACAGACACCCTGTGAGGTGGGTTGGGCTGAGAGAACTCTTGACAGAAACTGCTCTTTTTCAAGGACAGCTGTGCCAGAGCTTGTGACTGACCCAAGGTCACATCAGCAGGTGCAAGTGGAGGAGTGGGGAATCAAACCCGGTTCTCCCAGATTAGAGTCCGCGCACTTAACCACTACACCAAACTGGCTCTCATTATCAATCAAGAGAATTGTTTCATCAACCTGAACCACTGCTTTCTCCTAAAGGGAAGAAATGATGCCTGACTCCAAGAAGGCAAGATGGGAGAGAGATGAGACCTTGCAGTTGGCGCCTCCTTTGACCTTGGAAGGTTGTACTGAAGTTCCAGATCTGGATCTGACTTTCAAGTTGCAGGACCATTTGCTCAACCCCCATGCCTCCTTCAGTTCATAGTTCATACTGAGGAGCCTCACTGTTGGAGGGCCAGTTGGAAGGATTTCGCCTAAGACCCCCTAAATAACAACTGCACTGGTTGCCGATTGAATACGGGATCTGGTTCAAGGTTATGGTCTTGACCTTCAAAGCCCTATGTGGCCTGGGACCATCATACCTACAGGACCGCCTCTCCCCATATGAGCCCCGGAGAGCTTTACGCTTTTCTGATAAACACCTCCTGCTGATCCCCGGCCCAAGGGACGTCCGCTTAGCCTCAACCAGGGCTAGGGCTTTTTCAGCCCTCGCCCCAACGTGGTGGAATATGCTTCTCCCTGAGATCAGGGCCCTGCGGGGCTTATTACAGTTCTGCAGGGCCTGTAAAATGGAGCTCTTCCGCCAGGCTTTGATTGACATTCAACCATTCTGGCCTCCCCTGTTTTTGGCCCTTCCCAGTGCCTCGCTGTTTTACATAATATTATTGGGCACTGAAGGGGTTTTTTGGGTGCCTATGTTCACCTGATATGAGGCACAGGGTTTGTTCTTATTGTTTATCACGCCATTTACCTTTTTATTGTTTTACGGATTTTATGTTGTAAGCTGCCCTGAGCCACTCGTGGGATAGGGCGGGGAATGATAATAATAATAATAATCCATTAGAAGAAGAAGAAGAGATTGGATTTATACCCCGCCCTTCACTTGGAGTCTCAGAGTGGCTTACAAACTCCTTTCCCTTCCCCTCCCCACAACAGACACCCTGTGAGGTGGGTGGGGCTGAGAGAGCTCTGACACAAACT